ATGTGGTCCTTTGTTTAAGTATATATACATAGTGTTAGAGCTCTTTAAAGATTAAGCTGTCATTTAGTACCATTATTTCTATTTTCTATCTTTACCTTTTTCCTGTAACCATTTTAAGATCTGTATTTTGCTAATAATTATAAAATAGAGCAATAGCCATTGTAACCATATAATTTATAAGTTCCTTTAATAAACCTGTAACTGTTTAAGTTTTAACCTGACTCCTTCAGTTGCTGTAATAGAACCAAGCACAATTTAAAAGAACTTCAGCCGGTCATAAAGGAACAAACATAAAGAAAGCTTGGGCGTTTGGATCTGTGTCACTCCCAGGTGACAAGATCCGTTGAGGCACCTTTCCAGCCTTTCCCAGGCTGCCCGCTGCAAAAAAACTTTGTGTTCTAGCAGTTAAAACCTAAAGTGTAATAAGCTCTTCCTACACACTAGGGCGTCTGTTAGCCTGTTTGGCTACCATCTGCGAAAGGACTGTGGTCCTATCAGTAAAGTCACGGACGTTAAAAACTTTCAGGGCTCCTTTCAGCCTTCTGGGCTGCCCGTTGCGACGAGACTTCGTGTCTTAGCAGTCAAAGACTTAAGAGACATACCCACACACACTGCCCTAACCGTCAGCTGACACAACCTAGTTCGAACTAGGGTGGTAATGTAGGCAACCGGAGTTGCAAATGAAGCCCGGGATTTGAATTTCCCGGGCTTCATTTGCATATAGCCGGGCACCGCCATTTTTAAATGTCCGCTAGTGCGGACTCCGTGCCGCGCGGCTACACGCGGCACGGATGAGGAGTAACGGTAGTTCAGAATAGGAAGCCCAGTCCGAATTACCTAGTCCATGCCACGTGTAGCCGCGCGGCACGGAGTCCGCACTAGCGGACATTTAAAAATGGTGACGCCCGGCTATATGCAAATGAAGCCCGGGAAATTCAAATCCAGGGCTTCATTTGCAACTCCGGTTGCCTACATTACCACCATAGTTCGAACTAGGGTGGTAGTGTAGACATACCATCACTGCCTGGTACCAAACAGGGAGGGATTGGAGTGATGAATACTTTCAGAAGTACAAAACATCCCAATTTCAGATTCTAGGAACATGTACAACCCACATTAAAATATATTTCACTTTGAGAAACACTCAATTCAAAGTGGACTCCTGATTTAAAACAAACAAATCTTCCCCCCCAAAATTAAGTCCACTCGGCCTTTGGATAAGCCTGACATTGGCTCTTGGAGGTTAATAAACATGAGTTCTTTTGAACCACCGGGGGGGTAAGATCCAGAGCCAGTGCACACACTCCCAAACATACCCCCATCCTGTGCTTCCAACTAGTAACTATATAGTGACATTTTGATTCCTTGCTTCACAGCAGCACTGCCAAATGAATCAATGCTTAGCAGCACAGCACCATATCTGCCAGTGCTAAGGAATCAAAATGAAAAACAGACCTCCCAGGATAGCGTGACTATTTCCCCTGTACAAAGCAGGTTCAAATACTCTGTTCAGGTCACATTTGAATATGATTCTGGTGCTTTGACCCTAGTGTAGATTACAAAACTACCACAAGATCTGCCACAGTTCAGCATAACTGGAAAAGATCCTAACTTAGAAAAGCAAGGACATCGTAGGCCAGTAGTAAGATGTCTTGGGAAGGTGGTGTAGTGGTCCAGAACTGGAAAGGCAGGAGTTAAGGTGCAGTGGTGGATTTGTTGAGGGCAGCTTCCAAAATGTCTTTCTTTTCTAGACAAGTTTTATTAGTTCTCTTTGCTTGGATTTTACCAAAGAAAAGAAATAAGAATATGCTCTAAATTCATGTTTATTCTGTCTATAGACTCCCAGAGGATAAATAACTTCCTATGTTCTGATTTTGTGCCAGTTTCTTTTAGCTGAGCTTGAAATTGACAAAGGCCTGAAGATCTCCATCAAAGACGAGGAGCTGGCTTCACTGAGGAAAGCCAAAGAATTTGACACTATCTGCAATGACATTATCCCCAAGAGCATCACAGAGATTCGACGGTTGAGTGTCAGGCTGTCTAATTACCCAACGGTCCTAAAGAAGGAAGATTTTGAAAGAACAGTGTTGACCATGGTCTATACTGCCTACAGGGCCGCTCAGTCTCGGAAACACCAGAAGGCTGTTTGGGCCGAATCCTTCATCAGTCTCTACAAGGCCCTCAAGCATGACTTGATGTTCTCACACAGCAAAAAGCCATTGCACTAAAGGAGTTTATACACCAAGAATGCAACAAGCTCTGCTGATAAAGTGGTTCTGCTATGTGTCTTTTTCCTCTGTAAACAATTTGTCTATGTGCAAAGATTTTTTATTCTCTTCCGCCCCCTAGTGGTATCCTGTTACAGAACCATGATAAGCAGGAAAAACATCTTCAGGGGAGTCCATACCTCCCAATGAATGAGGTAGGGGTGTGTGTGTGTGTGTGTGTGTGTGTGTGTGTGTGTGTGTGTGTGTGTGTGTGTGTTGTTATTCCCAAAAGATGGAGGAAGGGAATGTTCATCTGGAAAGTTTGGAACCCCTCTCCTGTTTGGAAAGTAATAGATATTTGGAAGTCTCATTAAACAAGTCTATACCTGGTGTAATATCAGTGAAGTTAATGGCTTTGTCTAGGATGATTGTGACCTGAAATACCCTGGGGGTGAAGGGAGTGTGCTCTGGTAACTAGTCTGCCAAGGAAGCTCAGAAGGACAGTGTACTGGGGAATTCAGGCTAGAAAAAATATACTAGCTTTGCTGCCATCTAATGGGGTCTAAAGAGACAGAAAGAGAGACACAGGCCCCCAGAAAATGAAGAAGAATCATGGAAAGTAGAGCTTGGAGACTATGGCAAGAATAAAATAATCAATGTTCTTGCAAGTAAAACCGGTTGACTTGTTTCCCAAGTACTGACAACCTATCTTAATCTCTTGTTCACAGTTGAGCCAGTTTTTATTCACCAGAAAGATCACATAGCTATTAACGTGTGCAGTCTCCCCACACGAGCTTTCACAGTCAGTCTATAAAGGTCCTGCCATTATTTGCACATGGTTCTGAGCCTCCCATGTGTTATCAACTGCAGGATCAGAACCTAAATTAATTTAACAAATACAATTTTTTCAGCGTATCCCTGTAACTCAGTTGCTGAACCAATCTCCTGCTTCAGAATATCCCTGAACTTCCTAAACAGTGGAAACCCCCCATATTTTGTGCATTACTTTGCAGCTTGGCTCACCTTTGCCCGTTTGGATCATCTTTGCTTGTATCTCTGCGCGTATGAGGGAGAGAGTGTGTCTATCTTAGGTCATTCAATCAGGGAGCAACCGTGGCATGCCATACGATTTAAGTGATCGGTCATGTGGTGAGAACTGTGAATGCAGAATGAAAAACATTCATGCTGACTTGATTGTGAACAAATCATAGGCTAAAATTTGTACAAATGATTTAACAAGCAATTGCAAATTATGAACAAAGGCCTTCTGTGGACACTTCATGGAGAGAGGAAAGGACTATATTCGTCAGCTAAATTATTTACAATAGGCAGTTCAACCTGTTCTAACGGCAGTAACCTAAGGTTTGAAAGCTGTGCGCTAATGCTGTTTATCTACCTATGCTAGCTAATTTTGGCATGTTTCACTATGGTATCTGAGCACTTCTGACATGCTGTTACCCCTTTAATATATGCACCTGTGGTCTCTCACACACTCCACTCAGTCTTTCTCCCTTTAATTCCCCCAGGCAGAAGTTGCATAGGAGCAATGGTAAACAGAGAAGGGGGCAGGGTTCTTCATTTTGGAAGGGAGGTGGTAAGAAATAAGGAGTAGAGTTTCTGCACTTTGCTTAATATTCTAAACTTTCTAAACAGAGACAGGCCCAAACCAAACCCAGCAAGAGAAACAGTGGTGGTTGGATTTTAAGGACCAAGTGCCAAGTCCCACGCTGCTCCTTTTCCATCACTCAGGCCATGTGCAAAGAGAAGAAGTCTCCTGCATGTCCCCTACTGTGGTGCTATTCCACTGGGAGGGTGATTCCTCAGTAAATGTGCAGCTGATACAGACACTTCCTTCTCTGCAGCTTTCATTGCAAGCAGGGTTTGGGGGACAGTTAAGGGCAAGCAGTTTGAGCAGTTAAGACAATTAAGTCTCAGTTTGACAAAGCCCTGGCTGGGTTGAGTTAGTTGAGATTGGTCCTGTCTTGGGCAAGGGGCTGGACTCGATGACCTCCTGAGGTCTCTTCCAGCCCTAGGATTCTATTATTCTAAGCAGGGGAAGCTAGCAGAGCACAATGTACTCTGGCAGTCCATGGCTGGTGAATGGCCACTGCGGGATCATTACCTGCTGGTGCTGTTTAGGGTCTGCCAAAGTTATTAACAGCTGAAAATAGGGTTTTCTATTGGTTAGTGGGAGGCATCTTTAACAAGAGGTGTAACTAATTCCATTTGTGTGTGAAAGAATATTCACACGCAAAACCAGCATGCAGAGCATCCTTTAAAACAGGGGTGGGGAACCTCAGGCCTTGGAGCTAGATGCGGCCCCCAGCTTGCCTGAATCTGGCCCCCACAGTTCAGGGATCACCCCAGTATTGTGGAGGCTGCACAGGCGCTCCAGCCCCAGCACTGCCATACTGCAGGGCTGGTGAACATAAAATCTACTATGCTGGCCCTCCTAGGCTCTGGTGTGGGAGGAGAATGTGGGGAGCGTCCCCTCAGTTGGAGGCCACATCACCACCACAAGCAGGCCAGTAGATGTCTCACATGTAATGCCTTTTCTGCACCACTCTGGGAAATCATACTCACATACTGCATAGACTTGTGGATTACTCTTTTTTTTCCCCCAGTGGGACTGGAATGGGAGCGCCAGATATATCCCTTCTTAAAAGCAAATACAAACTATCTATGTTTTTTTCCTTTATAAAATTACCCTGTTGTATAATTAATTTACTCATGGAGGCCAATTGTCATGAGTGTTCACCTTGTTTTTATTCTGTGTGACTATTCCATTCCCTAGAGTGACATCTGCTGGGAGAGTCTGGAACTAGAGCATTCAGGAGCTCCCACCACAGCTCCTTGTCCTATCCTCTTTCCTCCGGTGACAACAACCAGGATTGGGGCAAGCAGGTTTTAAGTAGAATTATCTACACAGAGAAGTCTCCCCCACCAGGTGGCATTATACTGCACACCAAATTCATCTGCTAGGGAACATAGTAAGCATCTTGGAAAATTATCCGTACAAATGTTACTCAGAACATCCTTCCATTCTCTATGGATAACTGCGCCTTACAAATGACCTTTTATTTCTTTACTGTTAAATTAAGTTTTCTTGAGTTTATCCCCTATACCTGCCCCAGTTGCTGTAGATAATGTAACAAAGGAGAAATAATATTGTTGTCACTTGGCTTGCCCAAGTGTATTTAATACAGAATCATTAATGAAGTAATAAAACCCTGACTGAGAACTATTTGACTGTCTGGTGCATTTGCTAAAGGAAGTAACTCCACTGTGGATGTGTGGCAACTTGCAAGTGTAACATGCCCTTATTTCAGGAGCTGATTTGCTATTTAACTACCCTGCAGCATGTCCCCAATCCTTGGATATCTTTCAGTCTGTGGAGCTTCATTCACACAAAGCATAACCATTAGAGATGGGCAGGAAATAGGATTTTTTTTCAACAGGCTATTCCAACGCTTTGAAACTCATTTCCATTTTTAATTGTTTCAAAAAGCATTAAAATGTCATTTTATGATGCAATGTTGTAATATAAAAATGTTAAATATAATAGATGTAAAACAGTATTAAAATTAATATAATAGCCAAAAATGAAACAAGAAGGTGTTTGCCTTATTGGAACTAAACATTTCAACATTATCAAAATGAAATGAGTCACCTGAATGTTCTTCCTTCAGAAGTGTTGTTGAAATCGACACATTTCAACCAAATGTTTTTTATTTTGATCACACTGCATTTGCTGAGGGAAAATGCTTCAATCAATGTTGATAACCACACTGGAAAATTCTGCTGGCTGGATCTCTTTCCCCTCACAGTAGGAACAGCCACGTGATTGGCCACACAAGTTTTCAGCAGCTCACAAGGTTACACCAAAAAGATATGTTCACGTAAAAGACCTCACTATTCAGTGCAAGACATTTGGTACTCACAGTGATCTGGCTAAACAGAGGCACTTCCCTCTGCGAAGGAGTGGAAAGTACTGAGCAAATGGATCAATACCCCTATGGGGTATCTATCCTCCCCCAGGTCGATAACAGAGGATGCATAGGAGCAAGGGTAAAACAGAGACGGGGAGAGAATTTCCCTACTTTTCCTTCAGCCCGGAGCGAGTGAGGGGCCTGGAGTTCAGTGTGGTGGAGTACCCGGATTCTGGAGAGCCTTCCCTTCACAATACCTCTCCTAGACTTGCTCAGACATGTGCACAGATTGTCTCATCTTTTAGGGGAGAAAATAAGCACTATTGTCAACTTTATTCCCATAGCTCTTTCTAGCATAACTTGGTTAAAGACTGGAATTTTTTGCCTCTCCTTACCTTGGTGTCACACCCACTGACTGTGGCATATGAACAAACTCATTGCTCTTCTCTAGTATGACAAAGATCTAGTGTCCTTCAGAGATTTCTATGCCATACCCTCAGTAATACAGTGGATTGAAACACTGCCCCCTTGTGGGAGTGCCATGTTCCGGTGGCATTAAATACACTTATGGCATCTTCAGATGTCTTCTCCTTAGCATGTGGGGCATGGCAGGAAGAAGTGACTATTGCACTGCAGCATTTCGTCTCCTTCTGGATTTACCTCAGGATGCTGCTGCTCTAGGCCTTAGGCTCCTGTGCAGTCATTTACCTCTGGGAAAAGTGGCTGTAAAAGTCCTGACGTGAGAATGGTGGCTTTTTGCATCCCCTTTGCGTGGATGTGGTTGGCCACACAGGTGTAAAGTAAGGGAGCACATGACCCTGTGGCTTTAGTTCGTGACCAGATTGTGCATGGCTCTCAGATTCCCATTTCTACAGTGTGCAGGGAAACAAGGGATAATCATGACCTCAAAGAGGTGCAAGGAGGGAAGAGTTCCTTTTCACCCTGTTCTGCTCAAATATCTTCTCTTTGCCACCAGTCTCCCTTCATAAGTCCATTTCTTTTCATGGCTGCTGCTTTACCCATCCCGGAGTCCTTCAGCTATATTCCCTTGCTCATTAGCTTCTTCAGACATCCATAGTAGGGGGCTGCAGCTGTGAAGAACTCAGCAAATCCAAGCTTATGGGTGGTAATGGGAGTGCACATGAGGACGAATAATTTGTCTTCACTGTTCATTGGGCTAAGCCAGTCCTTTGACCTGCCCGCAGGAGCCCACACACAGCCTCCCACCAGCAGGACTGCACATGCAGCTGCCTGGGCTCAGCCTATGCTGCAAAGTTTGTGCACAGGCTGCCAGCAGGCCTGACTGGCGTCCAGGTGCATGGAACTGATGTTGGATAATTTGAACCTGTTTGGAACCTGACCCTCCAAAACTGTGTGGTTCCCCAGGAAATCCTGGATGCTTGAGATGCTCACCTCCCCATGGACCCCCCATAGCCTATGGATACATCAGGCCTGTGGATTCAACATGCCTCTTATATCTCAACTATTGTCAGCCCATTCCTCATTAATGATATCAAGCTTAATGCTAAAAGGCTGAGCTCATGAAGGTGCTCCTATAGCTAAGCCATTAGAACCCTGTGGTTGGGGAACATTAGGTTCTGAATTTGTGTCTGATTTCCATGGACCCTGGCTGATGTGCGTGTGTATATAGGCACAGATTGCAACACATCCCTTATGAATTAATAGCCCCCATGACTGAAACAACAATGATCATGAAAAAGAAAGCATGCTCTCTGGAAAACAATGTTTGTTTACTTATCAGCAGCTCCTGGGCCTTGAAATAATCTCACTGTTCAGCAACTAAGAAAAGGCCTTTCTTTGTGAGAGGAGGCTGGTTGTGTCTCAAGCATCCTGATTGGCCTTTGGATGGTGGGTGGTGGCTCTACCATTTTCCATCCTCCTTTATGGTGAATTCTAGTTGGAGGAGACTTTTTAACAAGTTTTTTATCTTGAGAGTGAGGATAATCTTTCCAAGAAGTGCTGCCCTGCGAATTCCAGGCTGAAGAAAAAGTAGGGGAAAGGTAAACTCAAAGTTGAAAAGAAAATTAGAAGGAAGAAATCTGAACAGAGCACACCATCAAAAGAGGAAAACTTTTAAAAATACTGCATGTTTTCTTCGGGGATTTAAACTCTAAAGAGTCGCTTCTAATAATTTCCAAGGAAGAAAATAAATCCAGTGTTGGAAAACTTGGGCAATAGTATTAATGAGCAGAGAAAAGAGAGACTTTAGAGTATAACCGTGAGTGGCTATGGAGGTATAAAAACTGGTTTACCAAAAGCAAGACTTACATCACTGAAAACCAGATGATGGAAGGGGCAGAGGCTTTATAAAACAGGGATCAGAAGGCAATGCAGAAACTTCCCTGATTCTGAATAAAACATCAACACCAAAAAGACCACTATGCTCCAGCTTGCAAACCTCTTTGGATTATGGTGTGACAATCCTAAGGATATACTAGTAAGCCCTACATAAATCCGAAAAAGGTTAGCAACATTGATAGCATTTCTTTAAAACAGATCAAAGGAAAAGAATAAATCTATTAACAAAAAAATTTCAGGAGTGGTGGTGGGAGGGGAGGGAAAGAAGTTGACAGTGCAAAGCTGAAGAAGGACCTGGAGCTGAAGTAGAGCATCTGGGAAAAACAAAGACACATCCAAGAAGCAGAGCAACCAGGAAGAGAAGCATTATGGCACTGATAAAGGAGCTCCTCAGGGCCAGAAACCTGCTGCTGGTTGTCCTCATTCCACTTCTGCTGCTTCCTCTACCACTCTTATACCCCAGTAGTGTAAGTACATTACTGTTTCCTTTTTATTGAAGTTTACAAAGCAGATGGGCAAAGAGAGTGATGGTGAGATGCAGGGTCACCAGGCTGGACAGGTGTACTGCAGGAAAATGAGGAGAGGGGGGTGAAAGAGCAAATTATTCTTCCTGGGCAATGAGCTGATGCTCCTTTGTAGAATTTAGAAATATGATTTATTTAGAAGCAAGAGTAGTAGTCCCCACAGCAGCCAACTATGATGTCACAAGCCAAGGTGGGAAATCAGTGCTGAAGCTGAAAAAGATCCTGTTTTCAGACAAATGTATCAAATGCTTTTTTAAGAACATGACAAAAATACAGACTTTGTATATCAGTACATGGAATTATCTTGAACAAGAATTCTTTAAAATAATTATTATCAGGAGTCATGAGGCTCAAAATGGCAAGTGGTTGTCTGGGGACTTTCAACTTAGACTGAGTTTATATAGGACATCTGTAAATATTTTGTAAAGAACAGAACCAGGATTCAGTGATAGATATATAGGAACATGCACAGCATTTGCCTTTACACATCAAACCTTTGTTTCTCTAGTCTAGCAATTACACTTCTGGCAGAAGCCAGTAGCCGAAGGCTCGGAGAAAGGCACAACAGAACAAAAGGAAGGAATTGTGGTTGGGCAATGAGGAATCTGCTTTTTATTCTTGACTCTGCCTTGGACTTCCTGAGGTAGTTTAAATTCCTGCCACTGATCAGTATGATCTAGCGCAAGCCCAAGATTTTCAAGTCTCTTGAGTTTGGTTATCCGACCTGAGAGGGACCTGGCTCTGAGCACTCGTGCTCTGACAAACAAGCCTTTTCAAGCTCTCTCAAACTGGACACTCAAAAAATCTGGCCCCTGTAACTTTTAAAACTCTTGCCTCATTTTCCCCATCCACACAATAGGGAAATGCCTTCCTACCTTGTAGGGTTGGTGGGAGGCTATTTCATTCATGTTTGTAAAATGCTTTGAGGTCCTAAAAGGGAAGAGTCTTAAGGGTGAAAAACTTAATTATTATCTTTAGCTAGGGCTTGTAGTATGGCTGCCTGCAGTCTGGCCTTTCTTCTGCCCCGCGGGATAACTGAGATAGTATCAGTGGAACCAGAGTCATTTCATTTCTCTCCCATTCCACTTGCATTCTGCTTCCCAATTCTCTGTTCCAGGCCTCTCCTCTGAGGCTATGGATGTAGCAGCCCCCTTGGGTTGCATGAGGAGAAAGGAAGGGGCAAAAACACTTAACACCCTATTGACACAACCCCACTTTAGTATTAGTCACTCTGGTTACCAATAAATAAATCAATAAATGCAAGTTAAATGGAGAAGATTAGCATGGTTCTCAGAGAAACCAGCCGTGTTACAGCAGTTGCAGAATAAATAGCTCAAGCTGCTACAGAAGCTGATTAAGCCTTCAACAGAGATTATCACACAGCAGTTATTGTGGACACTTTTCTCCCCATGCACCTACTACTCTGTTTTCTGCGAAAATGGGCTTTCTTTTGTTTTTGTTTGGAAATTGAGGATACACATCAAAACAGCAAAAAACATCAGCACTTATCCTTCCCCCACGCTGTTATAGATTCAACTTTTTTGAAGCCATACAAAGGTCTTCTTTATTTATGTGTCAAAATTATATCACATATTTTGAAAGTGGAAATAGTTTAGAATCAACATATCAGAATAAAATTATTTCTGGCAAAGAAAATCCTTACGATTTTACACATTTACCGTAAGCAAAGTATAGCACTCTTCCACCAAGATGGTCACTGTTTCTCACATAGGACTTACACAAACACAATGCCTTTGTTCTGAAGAATAATAAACATTTCAGAACTACATTAAATGGCTCCCTGGGTTTATGCAGCTTCATTCCCCATATCATATAAGTCTATATTGCTCTTGTAGTCAATGCTGGGGCTGCACAAACTAGGGAGTAAACAAATAGAGTTGTGTTAATTTTATGTTCTATGACAAACAAAATGAAAAAGTCAAGAACTGTTAAAATGAAAGAGAGAAAATTGTCAGCAGATTTTTTTAAGCTCCTAAACGTACTTATAAGCAATGGAGAGGAAAAATAAAGAAAATTATAAAAATGTGCTTAGTGTATAAATTAAGTATCTTACAATATTTTTTTCCTTATAGATACAAGAGATACAAAAGATTCTGATGTTGTGAAAACCAGGACTTTAACAGGGTTCAAAAAAGAACTAGATGAATTCATGTAGGTTAGGTCCATCAATGGCTGTTAGTCAGGATGGGTAGGAATGGTGTGTCCCTAGCCTCTGTTTGTCAGAAGCTGGGAATGGGCAACAGGAACGGGTTAACTTGCTGATTCCCTGTCCTGTTCATTCCTTCTGGGGGCACCTGGCATTGGCCAGTGTCAGAAGACAGGATACTGGGGCTATGTCTAGACTGCAGAGCTTTTCCGGGATACCAGAGGTATCCCGGAAAAGCTATGTTGGGTCCAAGGAACGTGTCCGCTTTTCCGGAAAAAAAATTCAGAAAAGTGGACACGTTCTTTTACCATTCCTGTAAATCTTATTCTACGAGGCATAAGGGATGTGCCAAAAGAGGACGTTTTTTCTCAAATTTGGCCCCGTGTAGATGGGCCAAATTTCGGAAAAGCCTCTTCGGAAAGAAAAGCTGAAAAAGATATGTAAAGTGTGGGTCACAATTTGTCTAGCTTTTTCCAACTTTTCTTTGCAGTCCAGACATACCATGGGCTAGATGGACCTTTGGTCTGACCCAATATGGCCGTTCTTATGTTCTTATTGTTGCTCCACATTTTGACTCCTGTCACTGCCACATCACAGGTGTGAATCAATATCAACATGCAGATCAACCTGGTCACCAGACTTTTGACTTGTAAGCAATTCCAGTATTTCCAAGGCTGCAGTTCTACCCCCACTTAATCTATAGGCCTGAGCCAAAGCATGCTGAAGTCCCTGAAAGTCTTTGGATCAGGGCCTATGTGAGCTTTTCAATGAGACTGTGTCAAAGGGTGACTGATCTTTCAATCGGTGCTAGGTCTAACCCCAGCTGTGGCACACTTAGATCACCTCCCTAGGTGAAGAAAATCAGCAGATGACAGGCAGATTGTGTGGCTAATATCAGGCTTTGTGAGGTGGTGATAAAAACAGAAGCCTCTGAAGAGCCATAGGAGTTGAGGTGCTAGAGCAGGAACACTAGAACCTGCCTGCTGGTGGGCTGGCGAAGCTGATTTGAGCCATTTCAGCATGGCTGTGAAGTCCCTTAACAAGGGAGAAGCACTGCATAGCCTTCATAGGAGGTCTGTCCATTTCTTGAACCAGGGAGAAGGATTTGACCCTGAAAGACCAAAGGAAACCGCGTATTTATAAAAACTCGAGAAATTGGATGCCAGGAAAGGGAAAGTGACTTCAAGGTGTGAACAAACTAGTTGAGAGAAGCAAGGGGGAGCTGAGAGTGACAATGGGGTTCTAGAACAATTTGTGTAATGGGGGTGCTGAGAGCCGTCAAACCAAACTGTAAACTCTGTGTATGGTGGGAACCACTTCAGTGTCCCCACATCATCTAGTTGCAGCACCGATGGTGGTAATCTAGGTAGCATGTCTGCAGCACCACATTGTGCCACGAAGGGGCATGCTGCAGGGATTGAAGCAAACTCTACACCGACTGCAAATGGGATCCTACTCCTGGGTGTCTCTCAAAGATTGACTATAAAGTCTACAAGTATGTGGTGTTGTGGCTGACAAATCATTGTCTTCTAGGTTAATGTCATTAAATGGATTGTGCATGTAACTCTGGCTTACACTTATATTTAGCTTGTCTCCATGACTTACAGAAAGTGGGCCAAGTCTCTGTTTCACACAGTCTGTGCTCTGTCAGTCTGCTCTTCATTTTGTGTAGGATGAAGTGGCTACACCACTTTCTAATGGGAACACTCTGAAGCTAATCAAGAATTTCAAATTCAGACACTTGCACATCAAATAAGTCAGATGTATGTTTCCATAAGATTTGTATCTCATTATTCATGCTTTCGTTTCGAAAAAAGAGACAAACAAGAGGATTGCCACCTGAACAAAGGATATCTTGCATCTGTCTACATAGCTAATATTTGCAGTGAGCCATATCCCAGCGTGAACATTTTGTTAACACCCATGGAATTTTGTCTGACTTTGGCACAATTTAAAAAAGAACATTTCAGGTTAGCTACAGACTGAGCCTTTTCAGGACATTATTCTATATAACATGGGTTATGAATACCACAAACTGTATGTTGGTCTTTCTTCACTCCCAGATATCCTTCCTCGGCACCCCCGCTCTCTTTTTCTAGACTTAATCCTAGGTTTCCTGCTACTATCCTGCCTGACAATATTTTAACAAGCAAAAGTGACAAATAACCCTTCCTAAACCTGCTATCACTGGGAAATGTACCATTAAGGATGTCACTATCTATACAGGGGTAGGGAACTTAAGGCCTGGGGGCCAGATAGCGCCCCCAGCTTGCCTGGATCCAGCCCACAAAGCTCAGGATCCCCCTCCCCCAGCATGAGGGAGCCAATATTGCTGCTCCAGCTCTGCACCCCACCCATCCATCCTGCCCAAACTCTCCCACCTGCACTTCACTCCTGAACCTTACCTCCCAAGCAGATGCTTTATCCCCAGGCCTCTCCTGCATCCTCCTTCCTTCCCAGAACCTGCACCTCCACTCCACTCCTCCACCCTCCCATTCTCCCTGCATCATCTCTCCTACCCAGACCTCACACCTCAAGCTTGCTTCCCAGCAGCTGTCTCCCACACTCTGAACCCCTCAGTTTTGGCTCCACCGGCTGAAAAAAAATCTACTAGCACAGGCCCCCTGAAGAACTGGTGTGAAAGGGGAATGTGGAGAGTGTCTTTCTCCTTCTCAGTCGGGGACCACATCAATAGGTTGTTGGGGGTTTTTTAAAATGTTTTTGGTTCTCACTTGTGTGCGGCCCCCAACTGATTTTTCTATGGGTCAGCGATTCC